TTCTGGGCTGGCAAGGTGGCGGTACGTGCCGCAAGCAACTGGGTATCGTTCCTACCTGCCGCGTGTAGTTGGCGCAGCTCCTAAAACAGTGAAGGAAGGGAGGAGGGGAGCGCCACGGAGGAGGGAGAAGGATGGAGCCCGAGAGAGATTAGCAGGGGGATTACTTCTAAAACACCAGGTGCACCCGAGGGGTGATCAACACTATTTCTTGTATGGCATTGAAAACTCAAAAACGACAGCAACAGGAAGAATAGCATCACACTCACTATAAATTACAAGCAACATCAACAAACTGGTCATCACTACCATCACAATCAGCATAGTCACCGTCATCATCAGCAGCAACATCATCAGCACAATCCACTACCTTATCAGCACCACCATTACCATCGCCGTCATCACAATTGCCATCATTACCAGCATCCGCTACAGTCGCACCATCAACATCATCGTCATTAGCATCACCATCGTCGTCATCACACGAATACCATAAGCACCTTTATCAGTAGCATCATCATCACCATCGTCGCCGCCAATATCATCAAAACCATTATCATCAGCATCATCAGCATCATCATTATCCTAATCAGCAGCAGCTCCATCATCATCACCACCACCATAACAAACACCATCACCATACCCATCGTCATCGTCATCCCCACCAACAACAACAGCAACAACATCAACATCACTATCAGTACCATCCTCATCATCAGCAGTATAATCATGATCACGATCATCATCAGCATCATCATCAGCATCATCGTCACCAGCGTCATCATCAGAACTATTATCATCATCATAAGCAGCATAACCAGCATCATCAGCACCACCACCATCACCATAATCATAAGCAGCATCCTCATCAGCGTCGCCGTCATGATCATCAGCAGCATCATCAGCAGCACCAGCATCAGCATCAGCACCATGATCGCCATCATCAGCAGCATCATCATACTCATCACCATCATCACCACCACCACCACCACCACCACTATCATGATCATCATCATCAGCATCAGCATCAGCATCAGCATCAGCATCAGCATCATCATCATCATCATCATCATCATCATCTTCCTCCTCCTCCTCCTTCTCCTCCTCCTCCTCAACTGGTCCCTGTCTCATTCCCCGCCCTGGCTGGAACATTGGAGCTTCGCCTCTGGACCACGACTGGTCTGGAGATTACGCGCATAGGGCATTGGGACGTAGGGATTCCAGGCTTTGCTACCATGATTGGTGTCAGCTTGTACCTTGCTGACAATGGGGGGGCTAAATGCATAGAACGTGGGCATCCTTGCCCAGGTCGCGGCCATCCAGGATAGGTACTCGTTGCCGATCTTCGTCGGAAGGGAATTTCAATATGAAGCGTCTCAAATCTCGTTCACAGAAATATTGGAAAAACTCGGACCGTAATGGTTGCACCGTCAAATGCGACATGCGATATGAAGAAGAGTAAGACTACAATTGATTATGTCTAGGTTTCCAAGGTTTTGGGTGAAATTTTAGACAAGGTTGAAGAAGATGTTCAACACGATCTCGCCCCACATCGTCCGGTGTCGGTGTTTTCGACGGTTGATGGTGAGCCACTGGTCCCTGTCCTCAGGAAAGCTCAACGTCTCCGCACGAAGTTCTCTTCGACCCAGCGAACCAGTTTGACGAATGGGACGACGTGAGGGAGGCATTGGAGCAGGTGGAGCAGTGCCTCGGACAGGGGATGCAAAGTATAAAAGCAGGCAGAAGCGGTTGGACAATTTGCACTCTGTCATAATCAAGAGGTTTGTGAAAACAGTCTCAAGAGTTACCGATACGGTGCTGAAATGAGAGACACGCATAGGAAAAGGACCTGACCTTATCTGGGTCCCCGTTGCGGAGCGAGCTCAGCAAGTCAAGCTCTCTTGGAAATCGTACGCCGTCTCGATGCGATGGCTTAAGAATTGGATGATTCGAAGCATCGAGGCCGTCTTGAACGATGTCGCGGCGATTCCGCTCATCGCTTTAGAACTGGATGATGCACCTGCTGAGTTTGAAGAAGTCCCATCGCTAATCAATCTGCACGCGCGCGCGCACTCTCCAGCAGGCTTTGTGCGCGGATGTCGCCGGGCAAACGCTTAGGGCAGAGAGTACAAACGAGATCTTTGGATTCCTCTCTCTCGGATGTGGCCCGTGCCCTGGTCGCTGAGAAGGCGAACGATAAGGCTTCTGGAAGGGAAGCGAGCGTGGCGTGCCTGGGTCGTGGAGCACACCGAGTGTAACACTGGATGGATCCATCGTTGGACTAGGCCCCAGGAAGTTTGCGCGCCAAGCCAAGTGGAACGAACATGACTACCCACCAGACCACCCCAACCCAACACGAAGACCCGAATTTAAGGTGGGAGGGTAAGGGTTCCACATGTGTTTTTCTGTTTCCCGACCCCCCCCCCACTGGAAATCGAGGGTTAATCTGAGCCTTCGGGTTGGGTTGGGGTGGTTTGGTAGGTGGTGAGAAACGGGGAGTGGAAGAGACAGCCCACGGAACTGCTGGCAACCATGGGATATGGCAGGCAGTGGAGCAGCCGTTACCAGCATGGCACTGTGAAGGTGATGTCGTGCTGCCGCCGACCTCTGGGGAAGATGCGAAGGGGGCAGTCAAGACATTTAGCCTCAAAACTTCCTCTACTTACGATGGGATGCATCCCAAACATGATGGACTCGTGGGAGATGAAGCCCTCAATATATCTGCGAGATTATTTATGTGCGTAGAGAGCCATGGGAACTTCCCCACGGTCTTGCAGGCCATGTATGCTGGGATGATTCCGAAGGCCGCAAAAGATAAGGGCCCTCGAGTCCGGGCTGCCTTTCGAAGCATCCACGTAGGGCTCTCGATGTATAGAGTATGGGGAAAAGCACGTCACGGGATTGCTCAAGAATGGGGAAGGAGGCATCTGATGGAGAGCCTTGCACACCAGCAGGGTACGTCTATGCTGGAACTAGTCTTCCTCCAGGACCTGGCTCCCGACCACGCTGCACAGTGTGAGAGACCCTCCATACTGCGAATGTGATGTATGATACAGAAAACTACGACGAGCACGTGAACATGGAGCTCGCGTGGACACGGGCCAAAAAGAGTCAGTTCCCAACAAAAGTGCCTGCAATGCTCTTCAACATGCACCAGGCAAAAAAGGTCTTTAAGCATGAGTGGAGTAGCTATGGAGGGAAACAATCCAAAGGATGGGATTGTTGCCGGATGCCCCTTTGCGACATTCGTGGTGCAGATTTACTCCGTGGTCCGTTAAGGACCATCGCAACGGTGTGGTCCGTTAAGGACCATCGCTCGCGGCAGCCTGGCATTCGACCAGCGGTCGAAAAGGATACGCGCTTGGCATTCGACCGCTGGTCGAATCCAATACGCTCTAATGTGCAGTTTCCAGTATGCCCGGGCGCGATGTTGTTTGTGTCAATGACCACACTGCAAATACAGTAAGAAGACTGACAGCAAGAGCTGACGTAGACTTTACCGCGCTGGGTTCGACTCACGGCGCCGGCGGAATACAGATAGATACAGTCCTGCAGAGAGGTCCGCGGAGGACCTGGAGGGTCCTCATAAGCACTGGGCAGTTTGACTGTGTGGCGGTATCCTGGTCCCCGAAACCTGATAGGGCTTCGACAGTTTTTTGCATATGCGCCGCGTCCCGCTCTCTGTGCAGGCTGCGTGCTCAGGAAAGCCTGCCCTAGACGAGGAGGTACTGGAGGTTTGGGGACGATGGAGGTTTGGGGGCGATGAAGATGATAATCACGAGGCAGTACAGACTGCCGTGCTGCCGCCGTTGCCTCTATCCCGCTGCTGGGCCGCGGGGATTACTATAAAAAGAGGTTGGGGTTTTCTGGCACTTCGGTTAGAGTGGGGCCCCTGTGCCGCTCGAGCGGGGCAGGCGGCTCCATCCCGACCGTCGATGCTGGAAGACTTCAGCCTTGTCCGCTTGAAGTGTCCAATCCAATCCTGCTCCTTCTCCACCTCCTCCTCCTACTTCTCCTCCTCCTCCCTTCTAGTCAGCCTTCTCCTTCTTGTCCTGCCTCCTCCTTCTCCCCCTCCCCCTCCTCCTCCTCCTCCTCCTCCTCCTCCTGCTTACCCTCGCCGTGGTCGAGCCCTCCTCCCTACCTTCCCTCCCCCCCAAACCCTCTGCCAGGAGAAAGATGAATAGACGGGAGGTTTTGGAAGGCTGACAGGGTCCTCCTCCTCCTCCTGCTCGTCCTCCTGCTCCTGCTCCTGCTCCTGGATAAATACCCTGGTTGCAGTGCGTGGCTCTCGCCCCTTGCGCCGAGCACGCGACTCTCCAGCACGCTCCACACCTACAACGACGGAGGGTGTGCAAGAGGCGATCGGTTTCAAAACCGTGGGGAGCGCGGCTGCCTCTTTCATAATGGGACTCTCGCACGAGATCTCCTCGAAATCGTCATTTTCATGAGAAGGGGAGGAGAGAGTGCGACCACAAAACAATTCACTCGACACGGCCTCGACTGCTGTGCGAATCAAAAGGGGGCCAGGCAAACCGGCCGGGAACAACACACGAGCCGACCTGCGATGGGCAAGCTCATGCACCGAGCCGTGGCCTGAAAGATGAGTGAGCGTGCCGCGTGCAGCAATGCAGGAATCGAATGAGGATGCGCATCAAACTCGTTCTACGAGCGCACCCCGTAACGCGTGCATCGACTCCGCTGTGCAGAGCCCCTCAATATGTGGCCAAATGCCTTCAGTGGGAACACGGCTTGCTCAAACGTATGACCATAAGTGTGCGCAGGAGCTAGACGGACTGAGGCTCTCGCTTCGAGACTTCCGCAAGTTGAACGATCAGGCGAAGCACTTGTGCAACACATGTGCTGGTCGAGCACGGTTCCATTTTCATTCAGGGCTCTCGCTGGATACTTGTTCTTGTTTGAACACCCGATGCGTGTGGTGCAGTCGCCATGCTTACAGGAAGATGCACACTCACTGAACATGTGGGGGGGCAGATGAGTTCCTGTCATACGGTCCTGTCCAAAGAAGGACGCGATGAACATCGAAACGCGGCACCACGCTCTGGCGGTAGCCCCTGCCGCCATTTCAGACTTGCCCCTGCCCCTACTGTGGCAATTGCGCCATTGACTTCATGCTGCGCTTGAATCGTATGCACGGCCTCCGCCTCCTTCATAAGCAATATTCGCTGGTTTGTCAGCTCCATTTCGAGCTTGCTTGCCAAACCCTTCCAACCAACATCTCTGCACGCCCGGCTCAGAATGACGTACGTTCTCGCGGTCAAGAGCACCTTCGCCTGAACCGAGTCCTTGTACAATTGAACGGCGTATTCAACACGCTCCAACATAATGCATGAATGGATTGTATGATGGTAAGCAAACCGGTCGGGCTCGAAGGACTGCTCCCGCATCGCATCGAAGATGGCAATGACTTGCTTGAATTGACCACTGAACGAGTAGACCCTGATCATGATACCAAAAGATCTTGCATTGGGAGCAACCGCATGATCAGCCATCTTCCTGAACAAATCTTGGGCCTCGTTGTGCATGCCAAGCTGAAGACAAGCACCCAAAACTGCATTGTACGCCGTCCTCTGGAGCTGGATACCCGAGCGCCCCATCTCATCGCTCACCTTCAAAATGAATGCTGGATCGGAACGCTCGTAGGCCATAATGATGGAACGATATGCCCAATTGCTGAGGGTGACCCTGTCGCTCCTCATCTTCACGAAATATTCCACGACACTCTCCGAAGGCTCACCCTTCCACGCAGACAGCAAACGGTTCTGGATACTAGGCGACGGGTGGATTCCATGACCTCGAACTAAATCAAGAAGCGACAACCCGTCCGTTGTCATGCGCTCGTCATCGAGAGTTTCAGCGACGAGCTGAAAGAAATTGTTTGACACGGCCTTGTCAATGAGGTGCGCACCAGGAACAACCCCCTTCTTCAACATGTGGTCGAATAACTTCAGAGCTACATCTCCGTGTCCAACCCTACTGGAGGCACGCATCACTTCTGACACTTTTGGGAGTGTGTGAGTCACGCCCTCTCTCTGCGCGCACTCGATGATGTGCACGTCGAACCTCGGTCGTCGCCTTTGTCCAAGCTGATCCCGTGAGCCCTTTGCGCTGCCATGAATGATCCTACGGTCGAAAACAGCCCTGTCGATCAACGATTCTGCAGTGGCCAATTGTTTCTTTTTCATAAGTTCGTCCGTACTCTTCGAAGTGCGAGAATCGACGGAATAGCCGAGAACGCAAAGCAATAACACTATGCCGAAATCAATCTGAAGACTTGATCCGCAAAATCTGCTGGACGTGGCAAGGTGAACGAGGGGTAACGCGCAGAACGCAGCAACGAGCGCTGCGACGATCATGACAATAATGTGGGCGACACGCCCCTGGAAAAATATATGATAGGTCTGCTGCACATTCTCAAGCGATGTCGACATCTGACACGCCAAAATCCGAGATGTGTAGGAACGTTCAATGGTGTACGGTTAAGTGGGATGCTGCCCGAGCCGCACAAGACTCGGGCCGAACCAAACGCGGGCCAGCTTGCGCCAGAATGGCTGCGGAAGGACTCGCGCTGGACACTTCCCTGAACTCTGTGGTGCTGCCCCTTCGTCACGGCGAGGGGGGGGGGGGGGGCGAACGGTCTCACGTGGGGCCTCCTCCTCCTCCTCCTCCTCCTCCTCGCGATACGTGGGGGGGGGGGGGGGCGGGGCGATGCGCGGGGGCAGGGCACCCGAGGGTTAACACGTGGGGGCAATGCATGGGGGCAGCACGTGGGGCGACACTCGGGGGGGGGGTGGGGGGAACACGTGGGGTCGGTACTCGGGGACGTTGCACGGGGGCGGTATATGGGGGGGGGGGGGGGGCCTCCTCCCTCCTCCTCCTCCTCCTCCTCCTCCTCCTCCTCCTCCTCCTCCTCCTTCTCCCCCTCCTCCTCCTCCTCCTCCCCCCCCCCTCCCCCTCCTCCCCGCTTTCCTCCTCCTCAGCACACAGGGGCGACACTTCGGGGCAATGCATGAGGTGATACTTGGGGGTAGCGCATGGTGGGGGCAACACCTGGAGGCAATGTGTGGGAGCAACGCTTGGGGGCGGCGGGTGGGTGGGTGGGGGGGGGGGGGGATACGTTCGCCCCCGCCGCCGCCCGCACTCGTGCCCGCAAAGGCGGGGTGCCGCGTGCGTCTTGTCACTCGGAAGATGCAGCGCCGCTCCAAAGCAGATCTGGGCACCCGCACGAAGGGCAGGCGCAGAGCACGCTCGTCCTGCAAAGGAGCGTTTCGCGCAGTGAGAAGGGATGCCTGCAGGGACACCTGTGGAGGGCACTTAGGACGAGAAGGCGTCTTGTGGCGTCGTGCATACATCCTAGGTTTGCACTGGTGATCCGCATCATCATCATCATCAGCATCATCATCATCATCCTCATCATCATCATCATCACCATCATCATCATCATCAGCAGCAGCATCATCATCATCACCATCATCATCGTTGTCAGCATCATCAGCATCGTCCTCATCATCAGCAGCAGCATCAGCAATCATCATCATCATCCTGCTCCTCCTCAGCAGCAACAGCAGCACCAGCCTCATCAGTGCCATCACCATCACCATCACCATCACCATCACCATCACCATCATCGGCATCGTCAGCAGCAGCATCATCATCACCATCATCATCATCAGCATCATTATCATCATCAGCAGCATAATCGTCAGCATCGTTATCAACAACATCATCGCCACCACCACCGTCATCATCGTCATCATCATTACCATCACCATCATCATTCATCACCACCACCACCATCATCATCATCATCATCATGCGCAGCAGCATCATCATCACCACCATCACCATCACCAGCATCATCAGCAGCAACATCATCATCAGCACCATCATCATCATCAGCATCGTCAGTTTCATCATCATCATCATCATCATCATCACCATCGTCATCACCATCATCATTGCCAGCAGCAACATCATCACCACAACCACCGTCATCATCGTCATCATCAGCATCAGCAGCATCACCATCACCATCACCATTATTCATACTCACCACCACCACCACCATCAGCATCATCATCAGCAGCATCAGCACCAGCAGCATCATGGTCATCGTTATCATCCTCATCACCATCTGCATCATCATCGTCACCATCATAATCAACAACAACAACGGCATCGTCATCATCAACATTATCATCATCAACATCATCATCGCCGTCGTCATCATCAGTTATCAATCATCATCATCACCACCACCATCATCATCATCATCATCATCATCATCACCATCATCATCATCATCGTCGTCGTCAGCATCATCAGCATCATCATCAGCATCATCATCAGCGTCAGCACCATCATCATTGTCAGCATCATCATCATCATCAGCAGCAGCATCGTCATCATCGTCGTTATCATCACCATCATCGTCATCAGCAGCAACATCAACATCATGAGCATCATCGTAAGCATCATCATCATCAGCAGCATCATCATCACCACCACAACCACCATCATCGTCATCATCATCAGCATCAGCATCATCAGCATCATCATCCACCCTATCCTACCCCTGCTCCTACTCCTCCTCCTCCTCCTCCTCCTCCTGGTCCTCCTTCTCCTCCTCCTCCCATCCTACCCCTGCTCCTACTTCTCCTCCTACTCCTGCTCCTACTCCTCCTCCTCCTGGTCCTCCTTCTCCTCCTCGTCCCTCCGCTCCCGCCAGGGTGAAATCAAATCAACAAGTCCGCCTCCCTCCTCCCCCCCTCCCCCCCTCCCCTTCCTCCTCCTCCAACTCCTCCCCTCCTCCCCTTCCTCCTCCTACTCCCCCTCCTCCTCCCTCCTCCCCCCCTCCCCTTCCTCTCCCGGAAAAGAAGGAAGAGGGAGAAGAGGGGGAGACGTCCTGGAGGTTCCAGAGGGTTGTATCCTCCTCCTCGTCCTCCTCCTCCTCTTCCTCGTCATCATCATCATCATCATCATCATCATCATCATCATCATCATCATCATCAACACCATCACCATCACCATCATCATCATCATCATCACCATCATCATCATCATCATCATCATCACCATCATCATCAGCATAATCATCTTCATCATCATCATTATTATCATCAGCAGCAGCAGCAATCATCATCATCAGCAGCATCATCATCAGCAGCATCAGCATCGCCATCGTCAACGTCATCATCATCATCACCACCATCATCACCATCATCATCACCATCATCATCATCATCATCATCATCATCATCATCATCATCATCATCATCATCAACAGCATGATCATCATCATTACCACCACCACAACCATCATCATCATCATCATCATCATCATCATCATCATCATCATCATCATCACCATACCATCATCATCAACAACAACAACATCAACATCATCATCATCATCATCCTCCGCTTCATATTCCTCCTCCTCCCGTCCTCTTCAGCATCATCCTCCCTTCCCTATCGCTAATTCTATCCCGCGAATCCTCGTCGCCCTCGTTACGCAACCTCCTCCCTCCCTAAGAACCCCCTGAGACCGCCCATGGCTTCTCTGAACTGTCCAGAACCCCCCGGGGCCAGACATCGGGGAACAAACAATGACATAAACATAAAAACTCGGAGGTCCGCGCGGATTGCTCGGATCGGGGCTTGACCCCTCTCCCTGGCGCGCCGAGCGCGCCAGGGGCGGCGCCGGAGGCGCCGCCAGGGGGGTCCAGCGCGGATGCGAGAAATCCGCGCGGACCTCCGAGATTTTACGTTTATGCCACTGTTCGTTCCCCCAAGACACGACTAGTGGAAGCTTCTCCTGCCCTCCCCCGCCCACCCCCGTCTCCCGTGTCGGCCCCCGGGCCTCTCCAACCCGAGAAATCCGCGCGGACCTCTGAGTTTTTACGCTCATGCCACTGCTCGTTCCCCTAAGGCAAGGCAAGCGGAAGCTTCTCCTGCCCTCCCCCTCCTCCTCCCCCTCCTCCTC